AGATCAATGTGATATCTGACGCTGTATCCAATTGTAATCGGACATGAACATCATTGACCACTAATTCCACATACCTTCTTTTATCTGCCATGCTTAGAGCCCGTGTAGAATATATACTGTTTATATATTTGTTTTGAAACTGGTGAGGACGCTTCGTCGGATTTGATCTCAAATTCCCTCTAGTCCGGCAAACTGATTATTTATGATCAAGTTTATTGCACACCATGCATCTATGATTTCTAAATCTGCAAAATCTTGAAAAGTGCCACGCGCCGCAATACCAACATTTCGTTGAAGGTTTAGGAAATTTCATGTGATATTTATAACTTTTGGCCCTTTTTTTGTCGTTGACCCGTCTTAACAGCATGGACAGAATGATTAGATGGTGCAGCACTTTTGAATAGACAACAAATAGTCCCTTCGATAATTGCTTTAAGTTTCTAACATAGCCAAATCCTGTTTCAAGTTTATTAATCGTTGACACTCACCAGTAACAGTTTGTAGCGTCATGTTCCATACGAGATAATAACTTCATGCGAACATCAGCATCGCTGGGAGAGTTCAGACCACAAATAAATAACAAGCATTTAAATTGATCACTGGTTAACACATTTAATTTAAATCGTTCCGCTTTCAAATTTACTCTTCCGGCATACGTAGTATAATCTTCATCAGCTTCTCTAGTCAACTACAGACAAATATACCGGATACGAGATAGAAACATCTGTTCACAGAACATTTTATTTAAAATGTTAACAGTTTCATCGAAATTAACCTCTCGTGGATGTTTAGGCAGGATATGGTTCTTATACTTTGATGCTCGTTAGGACCAAGTTTCTGTAATAGCAACCGGACTTTCTTTGCGTCTTCCATAGTAGCAAATTCTACTCGGAAAATATCTTCAATTCTGCCAAACCATGCTTCAAAAGTGTGACCGCTGTCTGCATCGAAAATAAATTCTGGAATTGAATTAAGATATGACTCTATGCTTTTATGTTCTGGAATATCTTGTTGAATAGACAACGATTAATAAACTTGAAACAGGATTTGGCTATGTTAGAAACTTAAAGCAATTATCGAAGGGACTATTTGTTGTCTATTCAAAAGTGCTGCACCATCTAATCATTCTGTCCATGCTGTTAAGACGGGTCAACGACAAAAAAAGGGCCAAAAGTTATAAATATCACATGAAATTTCCTAAACCTTCAACGAAATGTTGGTATTGCGGCGCGTGGCACTTTTCAAGATTTTGCAGATTTAGAAATCATAGATGCACGGTGTGCAATAAACTTGATCATAAATAATCAGTTTGCCGGACTAGAGGGAATTTGAGATCAAATCCGACGAAGCGTCCTCACCAGTTTCAAAACAAATATATAAACAGTATATATTCTACACGGGCTCTAAGCATGGCAGATAAAAGAAGGTATGTGGAATTAGTGGTCAATGATGTTCATGTCCGATTACAATTGGATACAGCGTCAGATATCACATTGATCTCTAAACGAACATGGAATTTAATTGGTTGTCCACAAGTAATACCTACTGAGCATACTGCACGGAATGCATCTGGAGATATATTAAAGCTTGTTGGAATTATAAAATGCTCTGTTAAATTTCGAGATAACTACTTCACAGGGAATTATTATTTAACGAACAGGCATGATTTAGACCTTATCGGAATAGATAAACTAAACCTATGGGATGTACCATTGAGTGAAATATGCACGATGAAGTGCACAAATAGTCCTAGAGATTCTGTTATTGCAACGATATCATTGGAGGAAGATATCCACCAAATACTACAAGTTGCTATAAAAGCAACACCATTATCCACCGAAGACATTAAACGCTACACTCAAGAAGACGGCGAGCTGAAGCAGATTATGAGTTACCTTGAACATGGTTGGCCTGCTCATATAGACAGCAAAAACATTGAACAGTATGCTCACCGACAAAATTCCTTATCGCTCGTGGACGGGTGCCTAATGTTTGGAAATCGAGTTATTGTACCCACAAGCCTACGCCGGAAGGTGATGTTAGAACTGCACGCTGCACACCCAGGGGTAGCGCGGATGAAAGCACTTGCATGCGGTTATGTATATTGGCCGAATATTGATGTGCAGATTGAAGAATATGTTGCGAAATGTTCCGCATGTGCAAAAGCCATGAAAGCCCCTCGTAAGACCGAAATGCAGAGTTGGGGAACACCGTCAAATCCGTGGTCAAGAGTGCATGTAGATTTCGCTGGTCTTATAAGCGGAAAACAGTTCTTGATAATCGTTGATGCTTTCTCCAAGTGGCCAGAAGTCCACTATATGAAATCTGTCTCAACACAAGCTACTGTGAAGAAATTGAGGCAAGTATTCAGCTGTTTTGAGTGTCCAGATATATTGGTGTCAGATAATGGACCACAGTTTACCTCTGCTGAATTTTCGAGGTTCTGCATTGCCAATACCATTAGGCATATTAAGACATCCCCATACCATCCACAGTCTAACGGTTTAGTAGAAAGATTCGTGGACACTTTTAAAAGAGCATTGCTTAAAGCCGAAGGGGAAGGAGAAATAGAAGATATAATTCAACGATTTTTACTAAGCTGCCGCGCTACGCCCAACCCAGCAACAAATAATCAAGAAAGTCTGGCAGAAGCAATTTTTGGAAGAAAGATTAGAATACCTATAGAGCAAATGAAGCCAAAACCTGAAGTCAGTCTCCGCAAGAATAAACGAATGGGACGGCAATTCGACAAAAGGTATGGTGCCTTACCCAGAAGGTTTAATGTGGGACAAACAGTAATGGCAAGAGATTTCCAGGGAGTAAAGCCAACCTGGAAGTTTGCCATCATAGTCCGAAGAAAAGGAAAAGTTATTTATGAAGTAAAAGTTGGACAAAAGATATGGGTACGGCATGCAAACCTGATACAACCGACTAGACAGGAGTGGGAGATAGGAAGTAATAGAAAGCATGATATACCATTAAATATATTAACCGAGTCGGATAATGAAATTAAAAAGGACCCGAATAAAAAGAAGACGTGTACAACACTCTCAAGGCGGTCGCATCGCGTCAGGCGGAAACCTAATCGTATAAAAATAAATCCCAAGGATCGTTATTATCCATGGTGCTTCAAAAAAGGGGAGGTGTTATATCCTAGGGAAGAAGCAAGTACGGATAACTTACGGGACTTATTATTGGACTATTATTCTATGTATATTCCTATTGTATAACTATTCAGTAACTAGATTATCTATATCTATATTCATCTTATTACAAGCTTCATTCTGACCTATTGATTATTATTATATGATGTATTGTTCCTAAATTATACTCGGTTTATTGAGTACTGTCTCCCACGCTTACAATCACATTTGGCCTGAATTTGTACAAATATTATTTTCTATTTTATGGTGTGGTGTGGTCTGTTTATCTGGTATATAAACAAAGTATGTTTGGAATAAACGATTCGCATAACCGAAGCTGCTATTGGTTTTCTGGACTCAAGTGGACGGGCTAGGCGGGTTAAGGACTAATTAGGACGCGAGATTACTCATACTGATTGGACGTCCTTGATTGTCACCGTGTGAAGGTCAGAGAGTCGTATTCTATTGGTGGATAATTTACGCAAATTACGTCCTTGTTTAATTCGTAAGGTCATAACAAATTGACGACGACCTTGTTCAAGACATAACGATTGGCTACAGCCTAGGTTAAATCATAAAAAAAATGTGACTTGATCTTTTTTCGGTGAAATGGATCTGTATTTTTATGACTGAGTTTTGTCCACACTTTCAATTACGATTATCCAATTACATATTCTTATTCATTTCTGGTTTTATCACTCACTGGCCGGGCACCATCAGTAACAGCGTTTTATGGGAGAGGACAAATCAACTTCCAGCTGAAGAGGAATTTAGTAAAAGACGTTGGAATTGGATCGGACATACCAATGTGCATCACAAGCTAAGCTGTAATGTGGAAGTAAAGCGGAAAAGGGGAAGGCCAAAGAACACATTACTTTGTGAAATAGAAGCAGATACGAAAAGGATGAACAACAACTGGAAAGGATTGCCCAGGACAAGGTTGGATTGAGAACGCTGGTGTGCGTAGTATGCTCCTCCACGTGGGGTAACAGGCGTAAGTAGTAACATTCAAGGAGCAGGTTGAGCTAGCATATAGTAAGTTTTTATACCAAGTCGTAGTGTGGTATGGGTCGATTATATCATGATGGTCGGGAATTGAATGTATTTCAGTATAAGATCGATAAGGAAAGAATGGAAACGAAACGCAATTGATATGAAAATGCATGAACAATAATAATCGGAGACAATGAACTGATATTTACAAAAGGAACGTTCAAGATTGAGTCAATTGACTGATAATTTGAAAATTAAGTATTTAACTATATGGTTCTCATATTTTACTGAGATATTCCGTAATTTTGTGCTTATTTATTTATTTAAACGCATACATATTGGTACAAAGGGGCACCAGATACATATGCGCCACACAAACAATGAGAATGGGAAGAGAAAGGGGGAAGTTGCGTATATATAAAGGAAAAAAAGGATGAAAAAAAGAGAAGAGTAATGATAGGGGGAACATAAATGTACAACCAGAAGATCTCACTTAGTTAGGAAAGTTATAACCACTCGTTATGAAGAAAGTAAAAGGTTACAGCAGGATCGCCACTGGCTTTTATTCTGAGCCATATCTGTTAACGTCTCTAGCCACTGTGTTGCACCATCTCTCGGACCCCAGCCAGTGAGTCGTGAATTCAATTTTCATTTACAAAATAAATGAAAATTTTATGCTAAAATACATTCCATTGTTCCCACTCGTGTTCTTGTTCACTACAGTAGGATCAGACGGCCATAGACATAGTCCATGAATGTAGACTACAAAAACACACCCTGTATTTTAAACAACATAACTTGTAGATTAAACAACCATTTGTATAATATTGAAGAAGTATCAGCAACATATTTCAAAGAGATTACCTGTTTTAATTCTTCATTTCCTGTTTCTAATTGTGCTAATAATGCTTCTAAATTAGTTAAACGTCTACAAATAAATGATTTATTCTCCGGGGCTGCATAAGTTAAATTTGTTAAAGCCATACATATATATCGTCTCAATGCTAAACTATTCTCTAATAATGTAACAAAATTTTGATTATGTATCCATGATGATGCTGATGATGATAATAGTACTGCTGTTTTATTGCTAGTATTATTAGTATGAACATCATTATTATATGAATTCATATAGTCTGACCAAATCATTTGTTCTATGCGTAATAAAGAAATTAAAGCATGTACACCACCTAGATACAAAAAAAGAAAGTTGACAGGGCGTAAAAAAGAAATGACGATGCAAATTTAAATTACAACATGAATGATATTAGTTCATCAAAAAAAAATTGTAATCAATATATTAGGTTAGTACAATTTATGAGGTTAGCTCAATTTACCATACAAGATTAGACAACAATTTAAGTAGTCAATTCAATAATATGAGGATATTAACAAAGTTTGATATTTATATATATATATGTATTCATAGGCGTCGCTGGTTCAATAGTAGAATGCTCGCCCGCCACACAGGCATGTCGGGTTCGATTCACGGCCGACGGATGCCGATTGCCCCCAAATACCATGGTACGGCCGAGAGTGGTGAGAGTCCGCACTTCCTCTCCAAATGCTCTCACATGGTCATGCGTATAAAGCTTCTGCCAGGAAAGTCCTAATCACTACCTTCTCATGGTCCTACTGTTGTTTACGAAATTGAGAGAACGAAAAGTGAATGTCCGGCTCACTAACCGGGTTGGTGGACACGAAAAGTCCACCTAGGGTAGTTGGAAGACCCTGATTCCAAACCAATGGTGTACATGGGCTCCAGTTTACTGAGGAAACAAATGAAGTATGAATCAATCGTTGGTGACCGTCTACCATGGGACTGCATCTCCTAACGATGCTCCACTGCCTTTTGGACTAGACCTTTCGGTCAGAGGCTCCGGGTGTGGCCCTTAAGAAAATCACCTGCTTCGGTCTGGGCACCCGGCAGTATCATAGCCCTCACACAAATCAAATGAGATTTGTGCGGCGCATGTATATCTGGTGTTTCCTTGTAGCAATATTCATGTTTAATAAAATAAAATAAAGTGTTACAATATATAATGTTTGGTGCTGCGACTTAGGCATGTAGTAGGCAATATTATTTACATATTTCTAAGTTTATAAAAATTTTGTACGTTGATTCATTGATAGAATTTGTATGATTGTCAATTCTATCAATATGTAAGGCGACAAAACAAGGGCGTCGATATTTATAATAAAATTTGATTGTAAAGACTGAATTTCCTATTGTTCTGTGAATGTTAAGTCCTCTAGGAAACTACTCACTTATTACTTTTATGCTGTCAATATGAATTCGTTTCCTCTTTCAGCTGAATTTCACTGAGAGAGATTTATCATGTTTTTTTTGGGACCCGTCCCAAAACAGTCTCATTATGAGAGTATAATGATTAAGTATGCACACATTTGATAAATGATAATGTAATCTCAATTTTACTGAATACTATCCATCCCCTTTTTATCTGATTCGTTTTTTAGTTGTCGCTGTACAACATAGAAGAGGATACAAATTCAAAACAAACTAGTTTTCAATGTTTGAATAATGTGTTCAATCACAAGTGGCGAGACCCTAATTTATGCACGAATCAATCAGATTTATGAGCAAAGATGGATAGTGGATAGCAGTGGAATTCAGGACGCGCGTTTCGTCCTATCCGGGGCTCGTCAGCTGGATGCACCTGAGTCTCAGAGTTGATGTTCAATCTGGGACTCGAACCGAGTACCGTTTGCTTCAAACGCTATCGCGTTATCCACTTAGCTACTGAGTCCTGATAGCCACCTGCTTGTGCAGTCCTAAATAATAATGGAAAGATACAAGTAAACAACACCGAGTGAATCAATCAGATTTAGAAAAGTAGGTCTTGGATTTCGGTACGAAATTCGTTCATCCATTTGGGTAAATAGCGTTTTGGCATTTTAGATGACCTCAGTTCGTGATGAAAACCATAAATCTAATTCCTAAATTTAACCATTAACCTTAAACCGTAATTCTAATTCCTCATTTAGCCCTTGTTAATAGGTGGACATTCTCAAAATCACTATAGCGTCGCTCAAAGGTCGTTCATAAATTATAATCTCACCTCACAAGCTGATAATGGTCAGTTGAAATTAAAGATTACACTACATAGGAAAATACGTCTACATTAAGGCATCTAACTAAGGTAGCGAAATCATTAACCGTTGAAGAACAAGTGGATGAATTTGCTAGAATTGCTTTTTTCGACTGGGTTTAACTTCATATCTTTCATTAGAGTTTCGAACAACGTTAACAACGCCTACTTCAATCAGAAATGAAGTTTCTAGAAAATTATTCGACAATCACTAAATTGATCTATTTTGATCTATCATTATTATGATAAATAGGATCTATATCGATATTTCAAGTCTTTGCTAACTATAGTAATGACTAAAAACCAACAAAACCGTATTGTACATTAAATACTCACAAACTTGCATCAGTATACCCCAAATGCCCTGTTACGGCCGAGAGTGGGGAGAGTCCACTCTTCCTCTCGAAATGCTCTCATATAGCCACGTGTATATAGCCTCTGTCAGGAAAGTCCTACTCACTGCCTTCTCGTGGCATTACGGTTGTTTACGAAATTGAGAGGACGAAGAATGAATACCAGGCGTTTTAACCGGGTTGGTGGATATGGTGAATACACCTACGGGAGTTGGTAAACTATGATTCCAAACCAATGGTGTACACGAGTTCAAGTATCCTGAAGGAACAAATGGCGTATGAATCAATCGTTGGTCACCGGCTATCATGGGACTGTATCTCATCACGATGCTCCACTGACTTGTGGAACAGACCTTTTGGTCGAAGGCTCCGGGCACCTGGGCAGTATCACAGCCCTCACACAAATTGAATGAGATTTGTGCGGCGCATATGTATCTGGTGCTTCCCTGTACCAATATTTATGTGTTGAAATAAATAAAATAAATGATCTTGATGTGAATTAGTATTTTTCAAAAATTTGACACAATAAACACAAAGTTGAGAATCATTGAAATGTTTCAGTACAAACATAAAGCATAAATTTCTGTTTTAGAACATACCTAATTCACAAATAGCATTTCGATGCATTGAATCAAATGATAAACGAACTAAAGCAGCAACTTCAGCAACTGGACAAACAGTAGATGACTCTATATTCATCATTGTATTCCCCATGGCTTCATTATTATTAGTAACATTATTACCAGTATGGGTAATATTATTATTACTATTCGTCTGTGTGATACGTTCGCTTAAATTTAAACTGTAACTATGAATAGATGTCAACAACTGAATAATTCCCATATCTCTTCCATATAATTTTGAATCTGGTTGACATAAAGGAGCAAGTTTTTGAATTGCCTGAAGTTAAAATTAAGAAATAATATTAAAACATTTATATATATTTTTTCATAGTTGCAAGCGTGATTCGATTTAAGCTAGACCACCATGGGAAATCTGGAAGCACTGCTTTAAGGCCGTTTCGTCCCATTACGGGACTCCTCAGTAGTGCGCATCCACGATTCCGCACTCGCAAGAGTCAAACCCAGGACCTACCAGTCTCGAGCCAGAGTACTTGACTGATAGACCACTGAGCCGGCATCCAATGCTGTTAATGTCTAACTTCAACCGATCCACGAAATTGAGCAACCATTCACCAATGCCATCAGTGAGTTGACATCTCCCAACAGACCTGGTTGAACTCCACTGGTCACTGCTTCTCACTAGAACTTCTGGATGTACTTTTCGAAGTCAGTCCAGTGCTTCCAGGTTTTCCGTGGTGGTCTAGCCTCAAGTGTCTCACGCTTTCAACTATGAAAAAATACTAAATCTCCACAAAAAGCCTTCTGATAATTTATATATATGCTCGAAATTTACATTTATGAATAATACAGATATCATTTAATTTTATAGAATATTTAAGTTTTTGCTTCGCTAGATATAAACCATATTCGAGTGTACTTGTGTAGATTTGTCTCAAGTTAGTTACTATTGTGGTGTGGGTTACTTATATCCACATAAGTAGTATATGGTGATGGTCAAGCATAGAATGTATTTTGGCAGAAGATCGATAACGAAAGAACAGGAACGGAGCGCAATCGATATGAAAATGTATGAACAATGAAACCAGATAACCTGGAGTGATATTTGTAGAAAGAACAGTTAAGATTGAGACGATTGATTGTAATTTTGCAAATTAACAATTTACTGTATGGTTATCAGAATTTAGTGAGATAGTCTGTAATTTTTTGCTTAACTATATTCGATTGTCCCCGCCCGTGTTTTTGTTCACTACATTAATTACAGGAACTCTGACATAGATAGCCGTCAAGCTTGATTAGCGTGACAAACTATTCAAGACATTAACTAAAATATTTTGTTCAGATAGGTAGATCGGAGAATAGTAAAACCAGAAAAATCTAACGATTCGAATACAAAGTCAAACAGTCGACTAAACACAGGAGGATGATTCTTATGGATAACCAACATCTCCAGAGATGATGTTAATGGTTTGATCGAATGGTTGTTGCGATGGTCTTTATGTACATGTATCAAGTTGAGTTCGTGTATAAGTACGATATGTTAACTTTATTTTCAGCGTTTTGCAATAACAATAAAAAGATCTGTTGTCCCAAATAATGTTTAAAATACGATACTATGAACGCTACTAAGTTCAACTATAATTCTTCATGTACAATACAGCGTTCTAGCGTTCATTGTTTAATTGATTGTTATATAAATAGTTGAAATCATGAGTCAGCACTGTGCATCCACGATCCCGCCTTGCTGACAAGTCCCACAATAGGACGAAACGGCCGTCCAGTGCTTCCAGTTTTTCCTTAGTGGTCTAGCTTCAATTGACTCATGATTTCAACTATATATAAAAAATTACTTAAAATCTCCACAGAAAACCCCCTGATTATTATATAAATTGAATATACAGTTTCGTTCAGTAGTGTATGAGAATGATTGATATCAAAAGTAAATAAATATATCACTGCAGAAATTGACAGACTAATTGAAGCACTGAACAAAGATGACCTCTCAGTGATGTGTTTTTTTTTATTATTTCACTAGAATTTTCGTGTTCCTAAATGACAAACAGTGTTGACCTAATGCATTCACATACAAAACTATTTGTATTTAGTTTACTTGAGACATACAAATACATTAGGATAGAACATTTACCTCCACATCAATAATCGAATATATAAAATAGTCATTATCGTAATAACTCGAAGTAAGATAGATTGTCCTTAAAGATATTTATTGTATACAATTGTATACAATATGAATCAGGTAGATATTATTCGCAATCAGTATTAAGCATACACATACATACATACATAAATGAACATAGGAAGAAAGGTCATGGAAATTGGTTAGTAACAATTCATTGAAATCAATTACTCAATTCATGACGTAACAAGTCATAGTTCTAATACAGAACAAAACGAACATTAAAAAGTTTATAAATAGTGATAAATCTTCCATCTGAACTCTTGAATCGGTTTATTAAACTTTTCCAATAACCCCAGATTAAATCTACACGACAACTTGAACGTGAGAGTAAAGGCGCGTAATATGGAAAGAATTATTTACTCCAAGGTTAGTTTATATACAGAAAAATCGGGAGTATTCATGGCATTTCAGATGACCATGAGGTTCTGGAACTCTACTAAACATGGTAGGATGATAGGTAATCATCCAACCAGAATTATGACAAGTGACTCATCACTTTCTAGACGTTTCTGAGATACTTCTATTCAATGCCCCAACGTCTTCAGGTCTCCTTTTCGAAGAATATTCTGGGTCTCCCCAGCAAATGGAAACATCTTTTTAGGATTTCACTACTGACATTTACTGTAACATGATTCACGTGTAGAGCTGTAGGAAATAACGATGTATTAGTTCATAAAACCTATCGTACCTTGAAAATATTAACAATTGTTAAGATGCACACTTTTACAAATAATGATAAATATCATGGCCGTTGAACAATTTGTTCAACGGTTGTAAATCAGTAGGGATAAAAAAATAACGAATTGACGTTTGGAACGATGAGCAACGGGTTTAATTTGTAGTGTCAGCAACAAACACTGGGAAGCAGGCACACCCAGCTGACGAATCATAAATACGATGAAACGTGCATTCTAAACACCAGTTCTAGTTGGTTAATTAGGCATGGTTATAATAGCTATTGCAGGCTACAGGTAATTTATATCGTGAATTTCAATCACTATTGTTGCACATAACACTTTATCTATGTTTACTGGAATATGAAACTGCAACTTACTGACTAAAAGTTAGACGCCTTAATCGCTAAGCTACTACCGGTTCATTTAATGGTATAGACTAATTGTTTTGGGACAAAACTATGATGTCATGTGAAACGAAACTCATAAAGTGTTGATTTGGTTCAGATTTTAACTCATCGCATAAGACAATTTTAAACATAAAAATCTTGTCGCATCCATCACTTAATACTAAAGTTCTTCATTGAAATCACGAACCGATCTAAATAAGACAACCATTTAAAGCCTGAAATTACTGAACGGCTGTTTCGTTCTATTACAAGACGCCTCAGCAGCGTGCATCAACGACCCGCAATCATATTACTACGAAACGGCCTTCAAGGGACTTCCGATCCTCACTGGTTGTCTAACTTAGATCGGATTGTGATTTTAACGAAATTAAACAATCTTCACAACCAAAATCTGACTTCTAAAAGCAATGAAAACGAATGTAATTTTAATTCTACCTTGACATACCTCCATGGCAGCAGCTTTCAATTCCATCAAAGATGTGTTCGGTGGTAGGATCTTGGAATCAGTTAAATTAATTTTACTGAAATTACTGCTATTACTAATGAGACTATTATTCTCAGTAGTATTATTTGACGTATTTGTATAGTTTGTTAAACAGGGAGTCTTCTCTGATGTGTTATCATCGTTTTTTGTCCAGTTGTTCTGTCCATATGAATAAACTGGAGTATTTTTTCGTGAAAAACAGAAATAGTTAGACAAGGCAAAGTTAATTCTTTCAAATATTTTTATAATAAATGAGAATATAAAAACATCAGTATTTAATGTAACTCCTTGATTAACTTTGAGGAAATCACCAAATTGCATCACAAGACAAGCCCTCACATGGAATCCTGAAGGCCAAAGGAGAAGAGGAAGACCAAAGAACACATTACGCTGAGAAATGAAGACAGACATGAGAAAAATGAACAAAAGCTGGATAGAACTAGAAAAGAAGGCCCAGGACAGAGTGGATTGGAGAATGTCTGGTTGGCGGCCTATGCTACATGGGGAGTAACAGGCGTAAGTAAGTAAATGAGTAAGTTATTGATTAAGTTTACGTGGACAATATGAGTTACAAATTACTTGTGTGATGGCTATAATGATATTATACTTCAGCTAGCAAAACCAAATGAAATGTAGTGAAGTTTCAGCATACAACCTAACGGTTAAGAGTCAAATGATTTCATCATTACCACAAACGTATTCACTCTTAATCTCGAACTTTATTTTATCTGGGGATTTTTCATTTTCCCTCAAAATCATATTCCCTATGCCTATCCGTTTCTACTATCACTGATAATACACCTACTTTGATTACTGTCATTTATCTTGATATCTTCATCCTTCTGTGATGGTATTGCGGTAAATCGAGAAACTACACATATGTACCAAGTTATAAGTTGCTTATAACTGAGTATTCATTTATCTTTGAAGTATGATATTTGCGAAATATAAATACAAACTGCGACCAATGAATCGGTAAACAATGGAGTAAAATCGAAAATATTAATTAGCTAGCTTACAAGTGTACTATTGTATTTTAAACCACTTTCAACTTACCGACTTTACAAAGTGAAGTGTAATCTACAAAAATGAGAGGGCAACAACAATAAAAGTCTAATTCTTAAACTTAGCTAGCAGACACGTATTTTCAACATTTTTTCTCTGTTAAAGAGAATGTCTATATGATAATTTGTAGAAATTAATAAAGATTTTTTTAAATAAAGATTTTTTTCAACAATTTATGTGTACCATGAATAAAACGGAAGTAATCAATTTTAGTCGAACAATAAGTAAAATGAGAAGCATCGTGTAGTCTGTATCTAGAGTTAAGGGATATGTTGACATGGTTTTATTAGACTTGATCTAGTAAATGGATGAATGAGGAAGGAATCGTGGGCTTAAATTATCCGAAATAAAGAGAGAGGGCAGTACAACGAAAGCGGTAGTAATTAAAGTATGAAGCACTGATTCGTTGAATCGAAAGTGAATTGATTTACGTTGAATAAAACGCGCGACCAACTAACAACAATTCTATCAAGCTATAAGTTGTACGTTGCTAGATCTTTACTCAAGAAATTGAATGGGGCTAGGTATGATGGTCATAAAAACATAATAGTGATGGTAAAGAAGGCGTACATAATGCGAGTGGATGTACGTCAGTGCCTATGAGAGGACCGGACATTAACACATAATTTGATAGTTTTTTTTATAGATATAATGGAACATAAAGACGTTCCACCTGCAACCATTCAGAGATAAGCAACGTAGAAACTGGCACATGTGTACATCATTTCAAGGTACAATAACACATCATCACAGAAGGATGAAATTATCGAAGTAAGTGACAAAACAGTAGAAGTAGAAGCAGTATATGTGTTAGTAGAAATGAATAGGCATAGACGATATGATTCGGGAGAAAAGGAGAAATTCCCATACACAAATAAAGATCGGGGCTAAAAGTGAATGCACTCGAGCTATCGCCACCGAGTTCGAACCATGATACTCTACGTCTCCAACCACTGGTTACGATATTCATGCTCATCTCAACTAAGTACCCTGAGTTCAACAGTTAGTGATTTCATGTTATTAAATGACCGCCCCTTCACTTCTTCCGACAGCAGCCAATATCGTACGACGAGGGAGACAATGGTTTTAAACACGTTTAACCTGAATGTTGTCTTATCTATGGAGATAAAAAAACAACCTAATTAAAGGAAAGAATGGATTTTTACAAAAAACCAGGTTGTTCGTATTAAATTAAATTATTAGGTATTTCAGATTTATTAATTCCTATCAATTAACTATATAATGAGACTATAGTATGAATGGTATTTCATACACCGAAATGAACTTAATAAAAAGGAATGATAAGGAATTTGGGATGTCAATAGAACGAACGGATAACAATAGGAACAATGATTTAAAAATAATGATAACAAAATATTAAATAACATAAAACCTCAAGATTTTTGAATAACACTGTGAAGAGACAAGGGGAAGGAATAGAAAATTGAACTAAAAAGTCAGTCGCGGTTCGGATAGCTTAGTAATATCGTCTCTGATTGTGAAGCTGGGCGACAAGGAGTCAAATCCATCAGTGATCATAAGTTCCCTTAAGGTTTCTGGCGAGTGTTAACCAGCACAAAACCTAGGTCGATTAGGGAACCTGTCAACGACCATTAACCATCAGCTTACATCTCAACATAGTGTACGTGATGTCAATTCGCCTAGACTAATGGTCACACTGCAACTTGATCGATAGAATTTGATCAGCATTAAGGACTTGAAAAACATGACTTTGATAACTCTATCCAATGATCAATGAATTGTAAGAACAAGAATACTGTAAAACAGGATTTTAGTTAAAAATACAACCAAGACAACTTTCATATTTATGGAGCGTAAAAGGAAACTAGAGCCAGATCGCCAGTGGCTTTTGTTCCAACCCATCTCTCATACTTTTTAAGCCACTGAGTTGAGCCATCTCTATGACTCTAACCACGGAGTCGCGATGAACCAACAGGTTCAAGTTTCATGCAACCATCTTTTATACTACAGCTCCATGTAATTAGCCGACTAAATTCTCTTTTTCCATACAGTTCCAGCATCGACAAATAATGGACGATATGGAAGTTGTTAGAACGACATTTTAAAAACCCATCTAAGGCACCGAAGCCAGGATTTCAAGATGATGACATTATTTAAATTATCATCACTGCGCCCAAACATACATTCTTTAGCCTCAACATGAATAACATGGTGTTGCCACCGGATGAGAGCGATCCTTCAGGACAATAATGACAGATCAAAGACAGTTAAACATTCTGAACTCAAAGACCAAGGTTTATAAGCAAAACTGGTCTGAATAACGATTTGGCTTTCATCATTCATAAATTGATCCCATCTGTCACCCACCATCAACTAAAAAAACCCTAGCACATAAACTTCTATACAGATATTGACTCATATTACTATAAGAAATCAACAAAAATGTAATTGAGTCAATTAGGGGCGGCCAAACCAAAACGTGGCATCAGTGCTTGAAGTCACTAACTTCTAATCTGAGTTATGTTGGCAGATGCATGCTACATGGTTGAGGTCCGCGTGACTATGGTAACCAATGGTTGGAAACTCTGTGACACGGCTCAGAATCGATCACAATGGCGTAGGTGTATACACTCTTTATCTTCCCTTAAACCTTGAGATTAAAATTGCTCCATAACTTTCTTACTTCCTATACTAGATCCTTATATACAACCTTATATACAATCTTTTATATACTACCACCACTAAATTAACTATTTCTGTGGATCCAATGTTCATCTTGTTGTGCTAACGAGGTATGGCAACTTGGACCGATGCATATATGTGCCTGGTCCTATGTTGTAGCTGACTGATTGACTGAATTGAGTCATACATAAAGTTTACCTACCCGAAGACTGATTGAATTCATTAGTATTAGAATGAAATGATGAAGGATATTCCAAGTAATTATTATCCTCATTATTCATACCATCTTCTTTCTCATTAGTCAATGCATTCATTGTATATTCTTCATCTTCAGTTTCTCTCATTGTTTGACCATCTGTTGTAGTTTCTTCTTCATAAACTGTATCACTATACAATATTCTTATTAAATGTGTTAATATCCGACGTGAAAATTGTGCTACATACATATTTGTATTAACATTAACTGGAATATTCTCTGTTTTACTTAACCAATTTAATAGAAAAGTATGAAATGTATGAATTTCTGATGGATCCATAGTTTCTGTAAAGTTAGTTTCTGGATGATGCCATATTAATAAGTTGAGTAATGCTTTAATTACTTCTTTACGACTATTATTATTATTACTGTCTATAAATGATTGTTTTGACGAATATTGACAATTTTGTTGTTGTCGTTGTTCATTGGAACTATTATTCGTATTATTCATCAAAGACTGAGAAGTAGAATTAGTCGTCGATGTCAATGGTTGACAATTATCACCATTAGATGATATTCTGATAGGTTGATTATGATATTGTTGATGTGTTTGCTGTTGTCTTCTATGTTGATGTTCTTGTTGTATAGAACGTTTTGGGATTGGTATATCAGTGTGAGAATTATCAATTGAACAGTTGGTATCAGTAGACGATTGATCTAGATGAATGGAAAAAGAAATTTAAGAAGAAGAAAAGTCAATATCGTTACTTAGTGCAAATTTCTGAAATTACATCATACTGATAAACAAACTACTGTCATGTTAATTATCAGAAGGGGTTTTGTCAGGATTTAGTATTTTCATAGTTGAAAGCATGAGTCAATTGAAGTTAGATCACCATGGAAAACCTGCAAGCACTGGACAGCTGTTTCGTCCTGCTGAGGAGTCCCATAATAGGACGAAACGGCCGTCCAGTGATTCCAGGTTTTCCATGGTGGTCTAGCTTCAATTGACTCATGCTTTCAACTATGCAAATACTGACATGTTGTTTGAAAATTACCTCAATTCGAAAGTGCGTAAATCTTTGATTAACTTGAATAGTTAGTGTTAGTCTAAACAACTAACGTGATATTAATTCATAGGGTCATGAACTCTTGGATTGTGAAGTATAGATTACCTGGTCATGTATTTTCTTAAGACAGCTTGAATGATTATTTACTTCCTTACGCCTGTTACTCCCAATGGAGCATAAACCGCCGCTTAGATGATACAGTTTGGAATATGTCCATGTAGAAAAATGTATCCAACTCATTATCTTCGATGTGAACATTATTCAATGTTTCTCGATAAATGGATGTATATAGAAGTGTCTTTTACTTTCTTAATTTCCTTTTTTTGTGCTACTATGAAATATACAATTTCACCAGTTCATACAGTATTTATGATCTAGCCCTTCAAAAGAATTTTAATATAATATCGATAAATATGTAAACTCACGCAAATGACTTTTTATATTAAAGTTGGAGTGTGTATTTAATCCAACGGGACCATTCGGAAGTGATGAATATGTATTGCTATAAGGACTAATATGAAACGCTTGACTAATACATGATTGTTGGTTTGTATATTGAGTAGTAGTGGGGTTATCAGAAAATGTGTTCACTTTGATTTGAGAGCATGAAGATGGTGGTTCATGATCATATTGAATACATGGTCGATTGGTTGTATTATCATTTGCTGTAGGTGATGAAACTGGTATTTTACCAATCCAACTGCCACTACGAGGCGGTGGAGGTGGTGGCGGCGGCCGAGGACGTCTAGAAGGTTGACGACTGACATCACTTGACAGTGAAAAGAAAGAAAATACAACGACAGTATATCAACCAATAGAATTATTTCCGATTTCGATACAATTCTAGTCTTATAACTATGAACATTGCCTGTAGAATGTATTCATCGTAGATTGAACTCAGGCGTGATACCACTGAAAGTCAAGGGGCAGTTGTTTTGTCAGTATAGGGTTCGGAAGCAGCAACTTAGACAATGAAACTAGCTTAAAAATTTTCCGTTACACTTTTGATCCATTTTATTGAATTTTAATATAGGGTATCTTTTTTAAATAACTTAGATTAAAGGTGAATTTTGCTAGTAATGTTTATACTCCATGGTGGCAACATTTCCAATACTGAATGTGAAAACTTGTAAACTGATATTTGCGGAAGCACATTTAGTCATATAAGTCGTTGGCATTCTCTAGGGAATATTTACCGCTATCTGTAAATAAATCACCACCGAATTCATTCACATGAGATTGACATATTATATCCAACTCTAAAGTAACACTATTTGCTAACTACAAACACACCTATCTCTAGTACTTTCAGTATATCAAACACATCGTTTCCAAGTAAGTTGCTTAATAATTCATAACTGAAGAATATGTGCTGGGAATACCACCCAGCTTTCTAAACCAAAGTAGGCTGAGATGTGCTCAAACCGACAACATATTCCATTAAAAGTTAACTAGTGTGATCACTAAGTCAATGGGCTACACGAAAGATTACTTTTGATATCAGTTAAACCAAAATTTGTAAAATAGTAACTATTTCACGAGTCCGACTTATCCATATTAATTGAACAGGAGTCAAAAACAATTCAGTTTCGAAAGGTATCTTTTATTGGTGTCTTTCAGTGTTTTTCTAATATCTCGTCATCTTCCGTAGCTTTTTTGACAGCTTTCAAAGTAACTGGTAAACCATCAACTGCGTCTTCCGACACTCAGTGAACTTATGTATCCGTTTCAATTTCTGTCACAAGAGTATCTTCTTCACGTTTAACTTCTGAACCAGTCAGTCTAGACAAGGAGTCAGTTAGTCCAAAGTCAGCAGTGGACTGCTACTTAACCTTGAAGTCACAATTTAAGAGTGGAGTTCCCCATCGTTGCAGTATGCTTGCTGTATATACCAGAATCCCTTTCCTTGACCTAAATATGGCCAGCAATGGTTTATCAGTCAGTCAGTCACAATGTAGAACTTCGTACGTACGTACATCAGTTCGAGTTGCCATACCACATTAGCACAGAGATACAGTTGTCCATTCAAATCCCATAGTAGTCGGAAGAAGATTTATCAATTGAGACCACCAGAAGAGGTGAAATTGTGATATACTCAGTCAGTTGTGAATCAACTATAGTGATAATTATTGATGAATTTAATAATTGTCATTGAAAACATAATATGGTGAAAAATGTATTGGAAGTTCATATGTTCTGATAATTTCATTTTACTGTGCTAATGGAATATGATAACTTGAAGGATCCAGTCAGAAGATTTATCACAGATAGAGACCTAAGAATAATTTAATCTCTATCGTAGTTTGTTCAATGATATATCGATTATAATCAATCATTATTAATTGGAGAATGGATCAGTTGAGCACAAAATTACAGTGAGTTGATGAATACAAATAAAAATGAATTAGAATCAAATAATTAATTTTAGGCACTCTTACTTCAACAGACATGAAGTCGAGATGGAGAAAGTCGATGCTTCCACTTATTGAATAATAGGTGACTCAGTCTTGCTAAACATGAAAGACAAGTTTAGAGACACATACGCACAAGCATGGTCAAAGTTACAAGTGAGTAATTGGCAAAGTCAAACAGATGGATAATAGAAGAGATAGAAAGAAAAATTATTTGTCCAAAGGTTAGAACAGAGATTTACTACAACATTAACGAGGAGAGAAAATTAACTAGATATCTACACCCACCTACTCCTATATGTAAGGGTAGTTTGCAGGAAGTGAGTTAGTCATCATCTAATGAGAATTGTTCTCTTATGTTGCTGTGTTTATCCACTAACTAAATGGAAAATTTTCAAAAATGCTTGGTACATTGTATAAATATTGAAGTTTAAAAAACGGATGCGCTACTGTTATGCCCTGATAACAATAGTGAATGGTAACTTTGGGATCCATTTATGGACCAATATTATGCATATAATTTTTATCGTATATTTGCTTAATAATTAAACTACTCATATTCATGTTCCTTTCATCATGAGCTTTATTTTGACCCTTGGACTATTATTATACGATTTACCATTCCTGAGTTATACCCAGTCTATTAATTACTGCTCCCCCTATTTACAGCCACATTTGGCTAACTCTTATACAAATGTTATTTTCTATTTTATTGGTATGATGTGGTCAGTCTGCTTGGTGTATAAACTCAGTATGTTTATAATACAAGGATTCATAGCACAGAGGCTGTTCTGGACATAACTGGCTGGGCTAGGCAGAAGCAGGACCGATAGATTGCTCGTACGGGTTTGTATGTCATTGTTCCAATCGATAATTCGCTGCTCTCTGATTGGCGGTTTTATCACGTCATACGTTAACAGGGCATCAACTCGGCCACAAGTTATAACAACAAGTAAGATCAAAGAAATAGAAGACAGAATAAGCAAAATGAACTGAATGCATACAAAACCCTAAGAGTAAACATTAGAAAAGTTATTTTTTTAGAAACTATATACACTTACCGATATTGGGAATGTGGGATTTGTGACTGAATATTCATTATTACAGAAGGATTAGTATATTGTAATGTATCATCAGTATTATTTATCATTGATTGAGTTGGACCATTTTTGGCCTCATATACAACGTACTGAAAACCAGTGAATAAAGAGAATACACATACATATAATTGTACATTATTTCGATCAATCTAATACTAAGAACGATCAGTCTTTAAATCACACAGTAGAATACACAAACGAAGGTTGCGTAACCTAGTTCATTTAAAATGACTAATACATTTGTTAAGTAACAAGGGAAGCCATGGAAGTCCTACTCCTTGCCTTCTCGTGGCATTACTGTTGTTTACGAAATTGAGAGGACAAAAAGCGAATGTCCGGTGCTTTAACCGGGTTGACGAACACGGAAAGTTTACCTAGGGGAGTTGGAAAACCCTGATTCCAAACCAATGGTGCGCATGGACTCCAGTATCCTGAGGGAACAAATGGCGTATGAATCAATCGTTGGTCACCGGTTATCATGGGACTGCATCTCCTTACGATGCTTCACCGACTTGTGGATCAGATCATTAGATCAAAGGCTCCAGGTGTGTCCCCCTAATAAAACCATCTGCTTCGGTTTGGGCACCTGGGCAGTATCACATCCCTTACACAAATCAAGTGAGATTTGTGTGGTGCATATGTATCTGGTGCTTCCTTGCACTAATATTTATGTGCTGAAATAAAATTTAAAAAATAAAATGCAAAATATAATTTATGTGTAGAGCTAAAGAACATAATGAGACATCTGTTTAGAGAGCCTATCATATCAGAAAAGACTGATCAAGTTACATCCTATGACTTTCATGACTCAATAACTTAGTAGATAAAACAGTTGACATTTTAAACAATGGAACCTAGGATTCCAGTAGTAAGAAAATTAACACTTAAACCTATATACACACACACCAAGTTAACGAATCCCAGACAATAAAAGAACATGGACATCTGGATTCCTTTGTTAACACTGACAAAAATTTAATTGATTAATATTTTTATAGTTTAAAGCGTGAGTCAATTGAAGCTAGACCACCAGGGTAAACCTGGAAGCACTGGACGGCCGTTTCGTCCTATTGCGGGACTCCTCAGCAGTGCACATCCACGACCTCGCCTCGCGAGATTCGAACCCAGGACCTACCAGTCTCTATTTGAGAAAACACTTCCTTCCTAATAAGAACATAGTTTTCTGATTACTGCAACAAAGTTATGAAGGAAGAAGGTTCAGCTGCTGCTGGTTCGAATCAAACGTTTACACCCTCGTAAGAAATGAACCATGAATGTCATACGAAATGAAACAACGGAACAAAAAAAGAGAGAATAAGCTGAACAAATGAAACTTTTCAATTGTGATCAGTTTCCTTTAAATGTGACTGTCAAACTTACTACATAACCCATAATGTTAAATATCAAGAGACAAATAAAGAAACTAACTATTAGAAGTATTGCTACTTACTGAAAACATAATGGGAATAGACATAATTTAATATAACTAATACCATTACTTTGTTCTAACTGATTGATTAATCACAAAATGAGAGACAAGGACAGGAACTAAGTGGATTTTTTTTTAAAAATACGAATATATATATATGTACCCATTCAGTTTCCCTAATCCAAAAAGGATTTTATTTGAATGACAGTAACAGACAAATCAGAACACAATTAAGCATACATACAAAAATATATAAAGTATAAATGGTAGTGTATTTGGGATTATAGACATTGATTATTTGCCAATTCATGCCTTTTTTTAATCTCCTACCTCTTTTAATGAATAAAACATTGTCTGGGGGGGGCATGAAGTGAAACAAAGAGAAAATAAAGATTCAATTTCATTTTGAAAAAAATTAGATTGTTATTTTATATTTAGTTAACTTAACAGCAACAGCCTATTGTGGGAGAGGACAAACCAGTTTCCATCTGAAGAGGAAATTAGGGAAAGACGTTGGAAGTGGATAGGATATACATTACGTAAATCACCAAATTCCAGCCCTAACTTAGAATTTTGAAGGGAGGAGGAAAAGAGGAAGGCTAAAGAACACACTATGTCGGGAATTGGAAGCAGACATGAAAAGGATCAATAACAACTGGAAATGATTTCTCAAGACAGGGTCGGATGAAGAGTGCATTTAAGAACAGAAGAGTCGCTTGGGTGGCCGATGTAGACTTGTCGGTAATACGTCAGGTATTGGTGACCATCTTCTGCAGCGTTGTCAGTCACTTATACGCAATATAGAGCCTGGCATATTTGTGCGTCAGGTTACAGTTGCCAAACCTCACTAACATAGTGGGATGAAGCTTTTCAGTCAAATCCCAGTGTAGTGGAAGTAGTAACAGCATCAGTAGTAATAAAAACGAGATATGGCAAGTCAATAAGGGAATCTCCTGGTGTGAGATTATTTCTGAAAAAGACGATGAGAGAGTTACCTAAAGAAGGATATCTATGACAAAGTTAAAATAGAATGAGGAACAGTAAGAAAAACCGAAGAACACAACATGTTATTGATAATTCTGATGAAAATTCCCTATGAGATCTAACTTAACCAGTAGTGTTTAAGTAGGGGGCCTGAACATGGTTGATGTTTTTCTTTGGTACGTCGTCCAATGACAAATACTATCACGAAACTCTTCGAGTCGAGTGTTGCCTTAAGCTCTAGAAATACAACTGTGGTCGGGGGTCAGTAAACATGTCTTAGAACCTGACGAAGGGTGAACATTTGAATTTGAGCATACAGCCTGATTTTCAGCGATTTGCTCTTCACGAACTAGGGTTAATATTTTAGACACCACATTAGTTTGATTCTTCTGTGGTTATCACAAGGGGATTTTGTGATGTAAGTTGACAAAAGACAAACGAGCTTTTTGAAGCCGTGCTGAGATTTCGTCAGACACCAACCCATTAAAATTGATCAGACTTCCAAGATAAATGAAGTTGTTGACGCGTTTGACTACTTCGTTCCATATCTTTAGTTCAGGTGTTAACGCAGGTCAGTACTGAAACAACAACTTGCATTTAGAAGGGGAGCAACGCATCCCAGACATCCTGGCATTGTTGCTTAGTGCTACCAAAAGACTATATTTTATGAGCGTCCTCACTAAATAGGATCATTCACCTGTGTACCTCTTGATAGGAGATCAATTCCTGAAAATCCAGTTGACGAGAATATTATTTCTAGCAGGAGGTCTATGATGAGATTGAACAGAAATGGAGATAGTGGACAGCCTTGCCGGACACCGCTTGGGGTCGCAAAATCAGATGATAGTTCGCCATAAGCTCTGACTCGACTGGTAGTGTTTGAGTAGAGAGCCTCCACAAGGTTTATGTACTTCTGAGATATGCGTTTTAATGACAGACACTGTCACAGAACCTATCGGTCTAGAGTCAGATGCTTCTTCTAAGTCGAGAAAGACGGACGCCGATAAGCATGTCTGTGTTCTAGAATGCAGCATTTAAGATCTAGTATTTCCTTAGATATTAAGTGATACGGAAGATATCCGTTATTGTATCACGGTCTCATTCATTCTCCATATTCCTTAAAATCTATGTTAAGAATGCTATTCCTAGCTTTTCATTATTTCATCTCATTTCCATTCTTTTGAACTGAGTCCTACATGTTTAAAATTCTGTCGCGATTGTGATAGTAGTCCTTTTTCTGTTTCTCATCTTATCAATTTTTTCTTCTCGTGCTGACATGAAATGTAGTAACCAATGGCTGGAGACTTTGTGTGACATGGCTGAGAATCGATCACAATGGCGTAGGTGTATACACTCTTTATCTTCCCTTAAACCTTCAGATTAAAACTGCTTCATAACGTTCTTCCTTCCTATACTATATCGTCATACACAACCATTCTTTTATATACTACCACCACTAAATTAACTACTTCTATGAATCCGGTTTCATCTTGTTGTGCTAACGATATATGGCAACTTGGACCGATGCATAAATGTGCCTGGTCCTACGTTGTAGCTGACTGACATTAGCAGTGTTAATGACTTGGTTAAGCAATTTGATATTACTAATGACTCTTCCTGAAATTTTTTTCTAATTTTAAAGCAAGCACACATGTATACACTTGTTTTTACATGATAAAAATCTACTTCACTTGATACATTGAATAGGTAGATGAATCCGTGTTCAATAATTAAACTAACTAGCCAATTACTAACCTATTATAGTGAACATTATCAATATCTATCACAGAAAAAACATCAAAATTAGTTTGACATTCTTTAAACATTGACGAAAACTGGAACTTGGTGAACATACAAGAAAAAACTATCACAGTGAATCATCAGTACGATTATTAATGTCATTGTACACAGTCTAGAAAGTTGTTAACTAAAGCAAATCTTAAACATTGCAAGAACTGATTTGACATTTATTTATTTGGTAAAAATCATATAAACTGATAAATGATGCTGACAAAGAAGCAATAAAAGTAAATAACCATGGCAAACATGAAAAACACAATTATTGAACAAAGGTATATCAATGTGACATGAATCCACCTACACACAAACTGATAATATTAAATGGCTATTTCGTCAGTCAGTCAGCTACAACGTAGGACCAGGCACATTTATGCATCGGTCCAAGTTGCCATATATCGTTAGCACAACAAGATGAAACCGGATTCATAGAAGTAGTTAATTTAGTGGTGGTAGTATATAAAAGAATGGTTGTGTATGACGATATAGTATAGGAAGGAAGAACGTTATGAAGCAGTTTTCATCTGAAGGTTTAAGGGAAGATAAAGAGTGTATACACCTACGCCATTGTGATCGATTCTCAGCCATGTCACACAAAGTCTCCAGCCATTGGTTACGATAGTCACGCTGACCCCAACCGAGTAGTCTGCATCTGCCAACATGGCTCAGACTAGAAGTTAGTGACTTCAAGCACTGATGCCACGTTTCAGTTTGACCGCCCCTAACTCTCTTCCAACCATCCTCTACACTAGTCAGCATAGCGCGTCGTGGTAATCTGTTTTCAGGCATACGTAACACGTGGACCAACCATCTCAGTTGATGAAGATTCGTGACCTCATCAACTGATTTACCATCATTTCCTAATACTCTGTGTCTAACCTCACTATTACTTACCCGGTTATCCCAGCAGATGTGAGCAATATTTCTAAGGCATCTGTGGTCAAATACTAGTAACCTACGAGTATCTTCTACTCTTAATGATCATGTTTCACAGCCGTAAAGTAGAACAGAGCGAATCGCTGCGCAGTATACTCGTCCCTTAATTGATAGACGGATATCTCGTCTTCGCCATAGGTGACGTAAGTTGGCAAAAGCCAAACGAGCTTTTTGAATCCGTGTCTATTTATGAATAAATGAATTTTCACTACATATCTATTGATTGATTAGAAGTTAACACAAAGTCCTTGACTTAAGTTTTGTGCTAGTTATTGCTTATCGAGGAAGTGCAACTAAAATTTGGGCGAATCAAATATTTCTTTTCAAGTTTTAAACCTTTACGCTTGTGTTATTTAGATCGTGATTGGATAGAATGCGGTGAGTAATCAGTAGCATAATCTACTACTTTATACTGGCCGTCATTAGTTAACTGATAAAAAGATTAACAGTAACTAAAAATGATGGTAATATTCAAAATCATGAAATTACACAAAGTTTTGCTTTTTAAACTGCTTCGGTTTGGGCACCCGGGCAGTATCACAGCCCACACACAAATTATTTTGTGTGGCGCATATGCACCTGGTGCCCTTTTGTACCAATATATATGTGTTTAAATAAATAAATAAATAATATTTTAAACTAGGTTGAAAAATACTTAATGTACTCTGGCTTTTAGTGATATTTTGGTTGATAACGACTAGCTTTTAAAATAATCTTAATACTACACATCGTGCATGCTCTCATGTTGCATTTTATTACATACGCAAGCTAGGAAGAGCAACTCAGTGTGTAGAATTGGCTAAGGTTAGTTCACAGATTGAATAGAGGTGGCTAAAAAATGAGATGCTTAACACATACGAACTATAGTTTATTTAAGAAGCTGAAGAACACAACTTACATTTTTTGTAGAATTGAGTGCGACTGGATAGCCCATAATAGGCAAACCATTACTAATATTCGGTTGAGAATGTGTAGAATTGTTCCGATAACAGTCATAAGAAGGATATGAAGTAGTTGTTCGGATATGGGATTGCGAATAGTGAGTAAAGTGATTGCTTGATGAATTAGGAAAACGTTGTATAGATGGACTAGGAAGAATCACATTTTGATAAAGATGATGTCGACTATGAGCCAAGTTATACTGCTCGCTTGAATTTGGTTTGGACACATCATGTGTTGAGGACTGATAATATGATGATTGAGATGATGAACTTAATGACTGTGATGAATGAAAAGTAGTGACAGTAGGTGGAGATAACATAGACGAGGAATTGTAACAAGGATGCATTTTTGTACAGTTTCAGTCTAAATTCAATGGATTGAGCAGTATCTGAGGTTCACAGTTCTATGGCGATAACTAACGTTCTTTACTTTGGACTGAATACTAAATAATACAGAGGAAAGTCAATGAGTTTTAAATAACAGAAAAGTATTTAGTCGTTGTTAAAAGTTGAATAAACAGTACAGTAAAAAGTGACTTCTTTAATCTCATAAATCAATCTTAAAATCATTGTTAAAACTGAATATTATCAAAATCCAAAACGACTGAGTCAGTAATACTGAGGTTACACCAAAGGTGTCATAACGGTCGACGTAGTTATGAATCTTGGTCGCCTATAATGGTTAGTACATGTATTACTCATCCCTAAATACCGCCTACCTCAACCGACGATGTTAGTTCGTGTAGAAGCAGGTTGCAAGAAACAACGACTAGTTTGCTTGAAGGTGCTGGTAAAGGGCAGTTTGATTTGAAGTGGAGTGGTAGCAAGTTTTTAGTACTGCACTTACTTGGGTATTATCGTATTGAGTTATTTTCTCTTTATGGTTAATCAATGACGGTTGCTACGGTAGTAAAATAAATGGTAAAATTAAAACAGTACGGCCTATTGGTTTGCAATATAAGAATATCATTTGAGGTTCAGTGAATTTATCATCAATATCAGTATTTTTTGTAGAGTTTTGCTCTCTGAGCTAGATGATTTAATTGTGCAGTTTTTATTAGTCTTCTAAACAACACCGTCAGCACAAACTTCAGGTAGATTTATTTATTTATTGGAACACATAAATATTGGTAGATATGTATGCGCCACACAAAAAAATTGTCATTTCATTTAATTAATTAAGTAAGTAATTTAATTATGTGAAGGTTATGATACTGCCCAGGTGCCCGAACCGAATCAAGTGATTTTCTCAAGAGGCCACACCCGGAGCCTTCAACCTACAGGTCTGATCCACAAGGCAGTAGAGCATCGTAAGGTGATGCAGTCCCATGGTAGCCGGTGACCAACGATTGATTCATACGCCATTTGTTTCCTCTGGATACTGGAGCCCTTATGCACCATTGGTTTGGAATCAGGGTTTTCCAACTCCTTTAGATGAACTTTCCGTGTTCGTCAACCCGGTTAAAGCACCGGATATTCGCTTTTCGTCCTCTCAATTTCGTAAACAACAGTAATGCCACGAGAAGGCAGTGAGTAGGACTTCCCTGGTGGAGGCTGTATACGCGTGGCCGTGTGAGCTTCACATATGACTGACAGCTTATCCCGTAGAACTTGGTGTTGGTTGGTCATTGTTAACCTATGCCCCACCGTTGTCTGCATACATATTTTGATTATCTCTCCCTTTGATTGAATTCTTGAAACTACATTTATCCATAGTATTTTTTAAATTGGTTGATATGTTGGGTCGACTTCGACTTGTTTACTGATTGTTGATTGATCTGAAAGCCAAACTTCTAAAAATTTTCTGAAATTGTATTACTTTTATCAAAAATTTCAACAATATTTCAGTCAAATGAGTATCCATAACTATCTACATGCATTGATGTGAGTGAAGATACATCATGGTGTTTGACAGCCAGACAGTTCTCATGCGGACGAAGATGAAGAGGAGACCATTTTATCTGGTGTACTGTTTTTCGCAGTTGCGACAATTTATTTTTTAGATAATATTTGGCCTTTCTTTTATTATCTCATCCTATGGTTTGCATGACATAGTTTAAAACGATCAACATACACTAAGCTCCCCATAAACATTCAAATAAATCAATGAAGTATTGGTTAGTGTATGTTGGAAAACTCAAATTAGGTCTGAGTAGGATGAGTAGATCACAAGCCTAACAACGCTAGTGAACTAAATACTTGACTAACTAAACCAAGGGTAAATATGTATTAGCAAATTTATATGTTTCAAGGAATAAAGTATGAATTTTTGTATGTTAGCAGTATAATATAGTTTAACAGAGGTATTAAAAATGAGAATATAGTAGGCTCATTTTCGCAATGTATGGTATTCTGCGAAGGTTCATAAACCCAGAGTCGGTTATTTTCCAAGTGTTATACATTTGATCTATTTCTAATGCGTCCTCATGTCCCTTCGAGGATTGCCTTAGTTAATTTAAGAGCGAACGACGTAGTCAGAAAAAAACTATGTAACATACATAGCATTCTGAATCAAAGGATGCTTCTATTAGCTTGCAATTAGTTTTATTTTAGAGGGAGTTTGTTCACGGTTACTCTTGACTAGCTTTGGAACTTACCTTTTTTATATAATCTGATTGAAGCGATGTATCTATGTTTAGGAAATAGTTTTCGACAAGGCAAGCACTAAACAACTTGTCAACGGAAAAAGACAATCCAAATAAACAACTGTGAACCTCTACTTTAGACCTGGGACTTCAGGTGATTTAATTCTACAAAGTTGTCGACATGAATCGGTAAAAGCATAATATACAAACGCCCAAGGTTTAAAGTGAAGCGATGTACATACGTCTGAGACCTTATACTGTTAACTTTTGTCTCAATTATCAGAACAAAGCAGATTGAAGTAGTTGAGAAGTTCGTGTATTTAGGCAGCTATATAAGTGCTGATGGTGGAGTGAGTGATGAGATTGATGCACGTATAATGAAAGCCAGAGCGGCTTATGCCAATCTGGGCCATCTTTGGCGCCTTCGTGATGTTAGTCTGGCTGTAAAAGGTCGGATCTACAACGCGTCGGTGAGAGCAGTTTTGCTCTATGGTTGTGAAACCTGGCCTCTCCGAGTTGAGGATGTTAGACGTCTCCCTGTGTTCGATCATCGTTGTCTCCGAAGGATTGCTGACATCTAGTGGCAACACCATGTTAGTAATGCAGAGGTTCGGCATCGTGTGTTCGGGCGCAGAGACGATATTTCAATTGGTGTCACCACCTTGAAACACCGACTTCGGTGGCTTGGACATGTTCTACGAATGTCATTCCAGAGAATTCCACGTCGTGCATTATTTGCTGACCCTGGGACTGGTTGGAAAAAGCGGAGAGGAGGTCAGTGTATGACATGGTGTCGTGGCATGAAAGAAAGCTGCAAAGGGCTAGCTTCTGTTGGTCCTTCAATATTCCCTGGTTAGGGTTCTAGACATAGTGCAACACAGTGGCTAGAGACATTATCAGATATGGCTCAGAATAGAAGCCAGTAGCGATCCTGCTGCAACCTTCTTTTACTTTCTACATAAAGAATGGTTCTAACTTTCTTAGCTGAAAGAGTCTTCTGGTTGTACATTTCAGTCCGCCTTATCTTTTCATCCCTTCTCTTCCTACTTTCATTATTTTGTAAAGCGTATATGTACCTGGTGCCCTTTTGTACCAATATATATGTGTTTAAATAATATAATAATAATAATAACAATTATCAGATTGTCTTACTTTCACGCTCGTGTTATTTTTGATTGTTGTTAAATGCTTCTGTTACTAAATATAAGTGCATTCTGTGGGCTTAGTGAGTCTTCAGTCCACCTTCTCCCTTATTATCTTTTCCTCTTGATTATACCACTTGCTGCCCTCAACAATCTCCGAGCACACAATGTACCTTTAGGTCAGACGCAGACCTGCCAAAGACTGAATATTATGGTGATAGCAACCCAAGTGCTCAAGCACGGCCTGCAGTGTGAAGAGTTAGCTCTCCCTCTTGAAATGCTCTCACATGGCCACGTGTACACAACCACAGACAGGGAGGTCCTAATCACTGCCTTCTCGTGGCATTACTATTGTTTACGAAATTGAGAGGACGAAAAGCGAATGTCCGGCGCTTTAACCGGGTTGGTGGATACGGAAAACCCACCTAGAGGATTTGGAAAACCTCGACTCCGAACCGATAGTGCACATGGACACCAGACTTTCAAGGAAACAAATGGCGTATGAACCTATTGTCGGTCACCGTCTACCACGGAATTGCATCGCCCTACGTTGTTTCATGGCGTTGTGGATTAGACAAAGGAAACTACCTCCTTCGGTTTGGGCACCTGGACAGTATTCCAGCTTTCACACAAATCGGATGACAGTATCGTACATATGTATTCGGTGCCTCTTTGTACTGATCTTTATGCGTTTGAATAAATAATTCAAAATTGATAGCTGTGTTATTGTCAACTAAGTAAAAATTGGCAGTATTCGGCTCCCAAAATGTTTGAAATCAATTGAGATATTTTTTATATAACAACAAAGTGAATTTTAGATGGTGCTCAAGCTAAATTACGTGATACAACTGCTTCGAAGGCAGACTGAGTGTCTGTCAGGCTTTTACTGCCATTCACATTTTATTATCAAAGTTTTGATTTTATTAATTTGCGTTGCTAATTGTTTTATAATAAAGCAACGCTTCCTGATTGGCTGATAAGTAGCCCAATGTTTTCAGTATATTATTTTTATTTTACCCTTAATTTGTCTACCGAATATACATAATTTTATTCTGTTCAATTTAAATGGTTTTAAAACATACTTTTGAAGTCTTTGCGTACGCAAATTACCTCGCTTATGCTTCAAAACTACACTGTCACGAGAAACATACCTTTGTCAGGTTGCCGAGCAAACGGCCTGCCGAAACGTAACCTAACTATTGATACACCCGCGCCCAAACCTTCAAACTACAAACTTTAGCCTTCTGTAATAAGGATAGAAAGTAAATCAATTTATAATAATCCTTGCAATTTGTAGTACTGTGATATCCAAGTATGTTTTGAATTTATCAACAGCAGGTGAGTGGAGAGTGTCCTTGAAGCTGGAAACTCTAGGCATAGACAGACCTCTTCGAAAATGGCTTGAGGATTTCCTGGTAGGCCGTGAACAGAAATTAAGAATTGGTTCCAAGTGTTCCACCTGAAGACAAGTAGTGAGTGGAGCACCTGAGTGGAGTTCTGTCCTAGGTCCATTACTTTTCATACCGTATGTAAATGAACTGAATATCAATGACTTAGGAGCTCTTATTGTTATCAGCAGGGATACTCCATCCATCACATAGATTGATGCTTGCGTGTTTC